TACCACTACAACCACCACCACCACTACCACCACCATCACCACCACTACAACCACCACCACCACTACCACCACCATCACCACCACCACCACTACAACCACCACCACCACTACCACCACTACAACCACCACCACCACCACTACCACCTCCACCACCATACCACCACCACTACTACCACCGTCACCACTACCACCACTACAACCACCACCACCACTACCACCTCCACCACCATACCACCACTACCACCACCACCACCACTACAACCACCACCACTACCATCTCCACCACCATACCACCACTACCACCACCACTACAACCACTACCACCACCACCACAACAACCACTATCACCACCACCATACCACCACTACCACTACAACCACCACCACCACCACGGAAGCAAGGAAGCACAAGCGAGGCTACTGGCTATAGGTAATGTGTTATTTTCGGGTAATCAGTGAAGGTAAGCATCGCTAGGCCTGGCTGGTAACTTGACGGGTGACCAGGTAGATACAGTGTTGATACTGGAACACGTGTAACCCGTCACTGTGGAGATGGGAACAACAACGACTACAATGATTCACAAGTAGGTGTTGCAATGTTATTCTTAATAATGTTTCAGTGAACCAGTATGGAAGATGAGACGGAGATGTAATGAGAGGTAATTGTGTGTTATCCAGGCACTCTCCCTCACTCTCGCGCTCTCTCTCTCCCCCCTCTTCACACACTACCGTCCATCCTTCCTTCACACCTCATCTCCACACGCTCATCAGTTTCACACTTTGCAGTTTCTCTCATCAACAGTATGACGTACCCATCTCTCTCTCATCTCCCCTTCACCGTCCCCTCTCTATCATCTCCTCTTCGCCATCCCTTCTCTATCATCTCCACCAACCCTCTCTCACACCCCTCCTCCTCCTCTCTCTTCCTCACCCCGCTTCAGCATCCCTCTTCCTTGTTTTACACTTTCACACACATTTTTAGTGTGCACGACTGATAGAGAAGGGTTTTTTTTTTTGTAATGCTCAACAGATGGGATCGCGAGAGAGAAACAGATGGGATCGAGAGAAGAGAGAGAGAGAGGAGAGAGAGAGAGAGAGAGAGAGAGAGAGAGAGAGAGAGAGAGAGGAGAGAGAGAGAGAGAGAGAGGAGAGAGAGAAGAGAGAGAGAGAAGAGAGAGAGAGAGAGAGAGAGAGAGAGAGAGAGAGAGAGGAGAGAGAGAGAGAGAGAGAGAGAGAGAGAGAGAGTAGAGAGAGAGAGAGAGACAGAAGGGGTCCCAGGGTAGGGGAGGGGGAAGAGAGGGCAGGAGCGAGATGTAAGGTCATATAAAAGATTTAAATGAAAAAATCAATAATAATTTCACAGTCTCTCAGTCAGCCAGTATAGAGTTTGATCAATCTTTGCAAAATCACAAAGAAGTCAGGTCTCTCTTGGAGGTAAAGGCAAGCCATGCCTGGCGCACGCTCCACTACTTATCTTTGGGTCTAATCTGTTGTTAACTGTCATTATATTATATATATATATATATATATATATATATATATATATATATATATATATATGTATATATATATATATATATATATATATATATATATATATATATATATATATATATATGTGTGTGTGTGTGTGGTGTGTGTGTGTGTGTGTGTGTGTGTGTGTGTGTGTGTGTGTGGTGTGTGTGTGTGTGTGTGTGTGTAGTAGTAGTAGTAGTAGTAGCAATAATAGTAGTACTAGTAGCAATTACTAGGTGTTAAAGGTACTTGTCATTAGATGATTTTTTTTATAGTGTGTATGATCTGTTACAGATAATTCACATTCCCCTAGAGATATCTTTCATTACGTGTGAGCACAGTCATAATAACTAGTTATAAGTATTACTACACTTCCCTCTCACGCTAGGCAGCCCTCAGAGAGGCTGCACACACACTTACATACACACACACATGGACATGCACGCATATAAACCTTCCTGGAACGATGTAATCAGTTTCATTCTAGTATTCACTGTTGTACTTACCACTTGGCACCATACTACCCCGTGACGTCACGCAATGCTTACACAGTGGGTGTTTTCATAAGGAACTTCATTGAAGTACCATCCACTTCACCCTAGCTGCCCACACTGTGATTCATATGGTATTTCATTCACGACCAAATCGTAAATTATTTTTCTTAATAGTGCGTCTCTTTTAGTGAAATCTGTTAATGGTCAAGGGGGTTATTGCCCCCCGCGGCGCGGTCTCAAACAACAACTCATAAACTTTAAGGGCAATAATCCAGGAATATGAAATATCAAGAAACTAATAGAAACGTAGAGAAAGGTATATAATGAATGTAAGTATAAGTTTGTAAGACTGACCTATTATCTTGCGTGTTCATGAAATTGAAAGAAAAAGCAGCAGTACTGATGACATCTGTGTGTTCATGTGTTCACTGTCTACCCTCACAACGAGGATACTGAATGAAGCAGTGATACTAGAGGCAACCAAATGCAGCAGAGATGCTAGAGCCAACCAAATGCAGCAGGGATACTAGAGGCAACCAAATGCAACAAAGATACTAGAGGCACCAAATGCAGCAGAGATACTAGAGGCAACCAAATGAAGCAGAGATACTAGAGGCAACAAATGTAACAGTGATACTAGAGGCAACAAATGCAGCAGTGATACTAGAGGCAACAAATGCAACAGTGATACTAGAGGGAACAAATGCAACAGTGATACTAGAGGCAACCAAATGCAGCAGTGATACTAGAGTCAACCATATGAAGCAGAGATACTAGAGGCAACAAATGTAACAGTGATACTAGAGGCAACAAATGCAACAGTGATACTAGAGGGAACAAATGTAACAGTGATACTAGAGGCAACAAATGCAACAGTGATACTAGAGGCAACAAATGCAACAGTGATACTAGAGGCAACAAATGCAACAGTGATACTAGAGGCAACAAATGCAACAGTGATACTAGAGGCAACAAATGCAGCAGTGATACTAGAGGCAACAAATGCAACAGTGATACTAGAGGGAACAAATGTAACAGTGATACTAGAGGCAACAAATGCAACAGTGATACTAGAGGCAACAAATGCAGCAGTGATACTAGAGGCAACAAATGCAACAGTGATACTAGAGGGAACAAATGTAACAGTGATACTAGAGGCAACAAATGCAACAGTGATACTAGAGGCAACAAATGCAACAGTGATACTAGAGGCAACAAATGCAGCAGTGATACTAGAGGCAACAAATGCAACAGTGATACTAGAGGCAACAAATGCAACAGTGATACTAGTTTTATCATGGACACAATACATTTGATTCTTCTGGTAAGTGTTATTCATTATTCTGTCTACTTATGTCTGATAAACAAATACAAATTCGTAGATTATATACAAAAAAACGATAAACCCGAGTGAATCATTTATTGCTATATATACCCTAAAATTGGTGAAGGGCTCCTGATCCAAGGAACTGACGCTATCCTCCGCTTCCATGAATCGAACCAGATTACCTCCCATGCCTCAGGCGCGGTATGACCCATACGTGTTTAGCGCTTCCCCAGCAATATAATAACATTAATCTGCACGTTTCTATTTTTTTATAACCGAACCCTCACGACAGTAACACACAGCAACACCTGTGAGTAATGTTGAGGTAACACACAGCAACACCTGTGAGTAATGTTGAGGTAACACACAGCAACACCTGTGAGTAATGTTGAGGTAACACACAGCAACACCTGTGAGTAATGTTGAGGTAACACACAGCAACACCTGTGAGTAATGTTGAGGTAACACACAGCAACACCTGTGAGTAATGTTGAGGTAACACACAGCAACACCTGTGAGTAATGTTGAGGTAACACATAGCAACACCTGTGAGTAATGTTGAGGTAACACAGCAACACCTGTGAGTAATGTTGAGGTAACACACAGCAACACCTGTGAGTAATGTTGAGGTAACACATAGCAACACCTGTGAGTAATGTTGAGGTAACACAGCAACACCTGTGAGTAATGTTGAGGTAACACAGCAACACCTGTGAGTAATGTTGAGGTAACACATAGCAACACCTGTGAGTAATGTTGAGGTAACACAGCAACACCTGTGAGTAATGTTGAGGTAACACATAGCAACACCTGTGAGTAATGTTGAGGTAACACAAACATTTTAACAGTTTCAACATAAATATATTGAGGATCAAGAATCAAGCCAAAAATCATAAGAATCACATTTTAATATTTTTTTTAATTATAATGACGTGATATGAAGAGTGTATGATGAAGAATGATTGAGATTATTATTATATTATTATTATTATTATTATTATTATTATTATTATTATTATTATTATTAAAACTAAACGCTAAAAAAATGATTGAGAGATAAATTATAATGAATTTACTGAAAACTATCTGGTAATGAGAACTACACAAATGCAGTTTAATGCGTACATGTATATATGCGTGTGTGTTTGTGTGCGTGTGTAGAGTGTGTGCCTGTTAGCACCTAACATTACTAGCTGCTTGTACTGGGGTACCAGTGATCCAGTACAAGCTGGAATACTGGAAAACACAAGCTGTTAATGTTGCATTTTTGTAACTGTTGTGTAAGCATGCCTCTGGCAAGACAGTGATGGAGTGAGTGATGATGAAAGTTTTTCTTTCTCGGGTCACCCTGCCTTGGTGGGAAACGGCCGATGTGTTAATAATAACAAGCTGGAATACTGGAGAATACAACACAGGCGGGTCTATGTTATGAAACCAGACTAATAACCCAGGGTAAAGAAAACTAGTAGTCTCTCACTGCATACAATAACTCGGGCACAGTGTTACCAGTATGTCAGTCAAGTCAAAGAGAGACATTGAAACCAAAACCTGCGTGTTGCTTTATTTAATCATTCATCAACATTGATAACTCATTCATGAAGCGTATGAAATTTTATTTTGTATTGCATGCATCTTGTGTTGACTATGTAAACATTACAGGTGATGGCGTCGTCAGCGGGGTGCTTACTGAGCAAAGCTTCTGGTCTGAGTGAGACGCCTGGTCTGAGTGAAGCCTATGGTCCGAGAGATGCCTCTGGTGTGAGTGAAGCCTCTACTGCAAGGGTCACAACGCCTGATAGCAGTTACCTCGTCAGGTTAGTGCAGTAACATGTTAACTATAAGCGTCTTACTGAGCAATCATATTCGATCCAAGAAAGTGAAGGAAAACCCAGTTCTGTGCCAAGAGTCTTTCACCGATATCTGAACACATCCCTTTGCCATTAATGATCACGTTAGTGTAACATGCTTTACTGCTACTTACACCTACATACGTATAAGTATGTGTAGTAGATACCATCTCTCAAAGGCTCTTGTCAAAAAGACACTTGGGCTGTTTAGTGTGTGTATGTGTCAAGAATAGCATCTTGACAGATGCTTCGGATGAAGAACATCCGATACGTCAAAAAATACACTGGATATTCTTTGAAGATGTTTTTCTTGACAGCCTTGGTCATGCTTTTTACGATAAAGATTCGCTTCCCATATATATATATATATATATATATATTGCATTTGCAATTACCTAGATAAGTTTGCAGCATTTGAACATCAGGTCTAGAGACCACCACTAAACTCAACGTTGTCTAATTTAATCTGGTTTCCTCACACCTATTTTGAAAGCTGCGGACTGTTTCAGTTTCCATTATGTCGTTCCCAGTCTGTTCAACCTGTTGGGGCTTTGCTCATCAGGTAAAAATGTTTCTTGACGTTGATGCTGGTCCAATGATGAGTCGCTCAGTGATGAGGCAATTCCTGGCGTACCAAGGCTAGGTTTTTCACTCCACAAAAGAAATCTTCAAATTTCTATCCACATTACTGTAGCAAAAATTTTAAATATGTTAAAAATGCCTCAATCCGCTCTGAGACTTTCAAATATGCAATGATAACAAGTTTTCAGTTGTTTTCATATAATGCCAGAGTGGCACGTTCACTAGAGCGAGAACAAGAAAATTGGATTCACTGCACTAAGACTCAAACACAGGAGAATGATGACAAGATGATGAAAGTGATCATGACAAAACAGAGGAAGATCATAACAAACACAGGATGATGATCATAACAAATATAAGACAGTGATCATGACAAAGACAGGAAAGTAATCATGACAAAAGCAGGAAAGTATACCGAAATTTAGAACTAGAACGGATGTTGAACAATGATTGATATTTTGCATTCTACCAGGAAGCCGCAAACTCCATTTTCTGTACGTGTGGTTAATTGCTTCGTCACTTATTATACTTGATGATAAGTGGTTTCGTTTCGCATACACCCAAATATACCTTATATGTCTAGCAATACACGCTGTAAAAAAAATAAGGAGACGTGTGAACCCATCTTTCCCATTCGAAAAATAACACTATCCTTGCCCTTCCTCACATTGTCCTTTCCCTCCAACTATCCTTTCCTTCCTTCACATTAACCCTTCCCTTTCACAATATTCCCTTTTCCCTTCCTTCACCCTCACTGCACCCCATATAGGCCACCCTGAGAGATGATAATTCCTAAGTAACAGTAACTCCAAGTTTGGTGGAACGTAACTTTGGCGCTCGCGTAACTGATGAACCTTCATTGGAATACTTAACGATATTCTCATTGCTTAATAGATGAGTCCCAGATCATGCTGACAGATTCCAGCACTATGTATGAAATCCACCATGTATGATGGAATATGACGAGAAATATATCTAGCTTTTGTTCCCACTACGTAACTCTCATACTACGGTAGCAGAACTTTACTGATGGCTTAAATTTTCTGAAACAATGCCCCTTAGAGGATAAAAGGCAGGGCCAGGGACTAAGACACGACCCCTGAAACCACAAATAGGCGAGCACACAAACACACAAATTGCAAAAGTGGTCAGATGAGTGGTTGCTTGCATTCAATCCTAGTAAATGCAAGGTAATGAAGATTGGGGAAGGAGCAAAAAAAACGGAAGCGGAGTTATAGAAAAAGGGAACAGAGGCTGCAGATTTTACTCAAAGAAAAAGACCTAGGGGTGAGCATAGTGCCCAGTATAACGTTTGAGGCTCACAACCGAATAACCTCTCCAACTAATAATCGTCTTGCAAATTCAAGAATAGCCTTCAGTCATTCCGGGCCCTTTACACAACCTATGTTAGGCTCCGGTGTGGAACCCACACCTGAAAAAGCGTGTTAAGAAACCTGAGAAAGTGCAGAAGAATGCAACAAAGTTTGTTTCTGAGCTAAAAGGCATAAGTTACGAGGAGAGGCTAAAAGAACTGGACTAACGAGATTGGAGGACAGAAGAACCAGGGGAGAGGGACATGGTAACATACAAAATACTCAGCGGGACATCAGTGGAAGTTAAAGTCACACATGAACTACAGGGATGTTAGGAAGTATTTCTTTAGTGTCAGAGCGGTCGGGAAGTGGAATTATCTTGGTAAGGAAGTGGCGGGGGCAGGCATACGATAGAGCCCGCGAAGCTAAGAGGGAGTGAATCTGAAGAGTAGCAAATTAATCAGTGTTAGGATCGAAGAATCGACCCCATTCAATCACAAATAGGTGAATACACACACATACACACACCTTTCTTGACATGCGACAGCCAGACTGATGTAATATTGATGTTACAATCATATGACAGGACGGAAAGTAACTCCCGTGTTTAGACAACTTACTGATTATGATTCCAAATATGACAACGTTTGTTTCATTCTATGAGGCCTCAGGCGATTTAGTGTTATGATATACACAACACAGCCACAACCAGAATTCTCACCAAAACCAATCGTCATAACACAATTACCAACCCCAATTATTACTACTACCAACACTACCACGACAAATATTCAATACCACAGTCGCCATCACAAATACAGCTACTGCCACTTTAAAAAATAACTAAATGGTTATAACTGACCATAACTTTTAAAAGTGTGGACCGGTAAGCCAGTGGAAGGCCTCGGTCAGATGACCAAAAGCTCCGACGGCGGGTCATCATCTGACTAAGACCCGCATTAGGAAACACTTGTTCTGTTTCCTGACGAATCTTACCTAACCTAACCTACCACTTTAATCACCACACTATACCAGTCACCAATATCAATCACCAATTCACTACCACCACCACTATCACTACTATTGCTACCATCAAAACTATTGCTACCATTAAAGCTATTGCTACAACCACCGTCGCCTCAACACCAGTCACACAAGCCTATCAGATAATTAGAGGAAACTATATTGTAAAAGTGTTCCATGTACTGGTTTCAGTGCTCCAGTAAGTTTGTAATTACTTGTGCCTAATCATTGTATTACTTAATTAGCACAGTTTATTATAGACGAGTGTGTGTCAATAGCTGGTTATCAGCCGGTGGTTAAACTTGTAAAGAAATACCATTACACAATGTCAAATAATATATCTCGACTATTGCAATGCTATAGATTTTGGCTTCAAGCCTATCGACTACACGGGAGTAATGAATTCATGTCTGCATGTCACCTGATACTTTAAGTCAATGATACTTTAATACTTAAAATTGGGGTTAAAGTAAACTCAGTGTGTACATACACTGAAAAATATACAACACTCGTTATGTATACCCTTATCTGTGCTGGTTGGTAGTTTGGTTTTTGTTTTACTGCCTATCGGCTGCATTATGCGCCACACACTCAGTGTGTGAAGCGAGTTTTGCCTCCTAGGCCCTTGTAAAATGTCATAGATCAGGGTACCCATACAACAAATAAATACATGCCTATAATAATATACAACCATGGCACATATTTGCAATATTATTTTCCATTTTATTTTTAAATTAACCGAGATAAGGTTTTTTACTCACGAGGACCCCAATGGAAATAAGTCACTTTGTCTAACATTTTTGGGTAATCCTAGGTTCTCTACACATATACTGCTGTGCATGATAATCTATGTAACTGTATTCGTGTATACCTAAATAAACTTACTGCTACACACTGAAATGTTGTTAGGTAAGACACATATGCAACAGTTAGGTATCTTTATTTCGAAACGTTTCGCCTACACAGTAGGCGAAATAAAGATACCTAACTGTTGCATATGTGTCTTACCTAACAACCTGTCGGTATTTTATACCATTTTATTGTTCACGCTGAAATGTATTATATTGTTTCTTTCAGTTCACCATCAAGAGGAGCGACTACGTATCCATGCTCTACATTTCCCTGCGCTGGGACAATACAGAAAATAACACCAAAGACGGAAACTCTTCAAGTAAGGCTTTCATTGAGATACGATTTTTTTTTTCGATTTTTTTTAACCCGGGGGAGGGTTAGCCACCCAGGATAACCCAAGAAAATCAGTGCGGCATTAAGGACCGTCAGTCTTATTTCCATTGTGGTCCCTTAATCTTGTCCCCCAGCATGTTACCCACAACAGTCGACCCCACAACAGTCAAGGACCCCAGTGGAAATAAGTCACCGTGTCTGACTTTTTTTTGGGTCATACTAGGTAATCTACACATACGCTGCTATGTATTATAATTTATGTAACTGTATTTTGTGTACCTGTACCTGAAAAAACTTACTATCACCCAGGTACCTACTTACTGTTAAGTGAACAGGGATAGCAGGTGTTAATGAAACTTGCCCAACGTTTCCATCCGTGCTGGGGATTGAATCACGGGCACTCAGTATGTGAGCCGAGTGCGCTATCAACCAAGCCACAGATGCAAGTTAATTTCAATTAATAATCATATGCTTTTTGTGCGTAATTGAAAGGTTAACTGTATATATTGGGCACTCAGATACAAAGACAGCTAGATGAGCGAGATGTACTGGAGGTAGAAGAGTCCACCACACTGCCAGCAAGTGTAGGGCTCGTCATGGCATAAGACGTTAACAAATGGAAGTCTGACGCTAAAATTTTTGTAATAATTAAAGTTCCTTAATAAACTGGGTACAGAAGTGAAACTATATAGATATGAAAGGAGCGCTACTTTTGCTGAATTAATTTATATTTAGTCCAAACGGACAATAACGGTCCAAATACACGTCTCGTGGTTTAGTTATTTATAGTTTAATTAGGTCAGCAATATTACCGAATAAAAGCCACATTATTATTATTATTACAATCAAAAGCGCTAAATCCACTAGGGTCATAGAGCTATAAAAGCCACAGTCTGTATGGAGGAGATACGTAGGTTAGTTTATTCAGGTATACACAAATACAGTTACATAGATTATCATACATAGCAGCATATGTGTAAAGAACCTAGGATAACCAAAAATAGTCAGACTAAGTGACTTCCATTCACAAAACATGCCTTGAGGGGTATATTTCTCTCAGCGTATATAAGCTGAGAATTTACTTTAATCCTTATTTTAGGGATGAAAGTATTCTTGTCCTGTGATAAAAAGTTCCCGTCCAGTCGATAGGCATTAAATATCATTAGCCAACCAACCAACCTGGAGGTACAGCCAAACCAAGAGAATTTTACAAGATCAGGCGCTGTATAAACGTTCCAGAATCAGATAGCGGGACGTAACAAGTTTATTAAAAAGACTATAAGGTGGCGTGATATCGTTCTAAATTGATTAACCTTACCCCCAACAATTACAAGGATGTAGCTATGTTGTATATAACAATACGATTTGTTAATTTACGATCCAACCGTTCGTTAGTTTAGCAAATACCTACAGCAAGGACTAGCTGTAAACTAATCTATCAAATGGGGTTTAATTCTATAGAACTATTTATCTTCAAGACATCAGTCAAGATAGATTTAGCGATCATATAAAGTGAGTGTTTCAAGATTCATTATTTCAGTGGGACAGGCTTAAAGAGCAGACCCAAAACAAATACAACAGATGAGTCCGCTATTTCTGTACAAACTATTCATTATATAGAGCTCTGTTATATTGATGTTGGTTGTATCATTCACTCATTGAATAACAGTTCCTCATTGGGTTATAAATGCGAGACATTTATTGTCCGAGGAACAAGGTAGAAAATGATAATAATAATAATCTTTATTTCTGTAAGTACATGTACAAGGCATACAAAGCTAGCTGACATCAGTGACATACTATATAGAAAACCCCTGGTTATGCAGAGCATTTCGGGTAAATTATGTCAATTTTGTCCCAGGATGCGACCCACACCAGTCGACTAACACCCAGGTACCTATTTTACTGATAGGTGAACAACATGGACAGCAGATGTCTTAAGGAAACGCATCCTAATGTTTCCAACCTTACCGGGGATCGACCCCCGGACCTCAGTGTGTAAGCTGAGTGCGCTAGCAATCGAGGTGTAAGTGGTATATTTGTCACTAAACAGAACAAGCGTTGCATGACACGGGTCTTAATCAAATGATCTGCTAATTGGAACTTTTGGTCATCTGACCGAGGCTTTCCTCAGGCTTATGAGTCCACCCCACTAAACTTTAAACATCACATTATGAGATGATCCAAGCATGTGGTGATAGTTCATTCGAAAGTAAACAATAGCGTATTCCGACACGGATTTTAATCAGCCAATGACCCGTTCAGTGTTTAAGTATCTGCTGGGTTGCTGGAGTTGGTTTTAATTGAGTTTAAAGCTGCAATGAACTTTTACCCCCCCCCCCCCCACGTCAAAAATACTTTAAGCCCTACAATAGGGATTAAAGTATATATACTATAAGATACACACCTCATTATATATATATATATATATATATATATATATATATATATATATATATATATATATATATATATATATATATATATATATAATATATATATATATATATGTCGTGCCGAATATGTAAAACTGGTCAATTAGCAAGAACTCATTTAAAATTAAGTCCTTTCTAAAATTTTCTCTTATGCGTTTAAAGATATATTTTTTCATTAATGTTAATGTAAAAAATTTTAATTTTGCACCAAAGAATCTTAAAAAACTTACCTAACCTTATTATAACAAGAACAAATTATTTTAACCTAACTCAGCTATATATATTTTAGATTTGTTTACAATAATTTAATACTAAACAAACAGTGAAATATATTTTTTTCGTTAGATTCAGAATGATTTTGGCGATATTATTGCAGACACAAATTTTCGCTTGTCCTATATGGCAAGATGAGCGTTGCTATTTAAGCCAAGATCGCAAGTTCTGCCTATTCGGCACGACATATATATATAATATATATATATAATATATATATAATATATATATAAATATATATATATATATATAATATCCATATCTTATAAGCGGTGATTCCACTTTAAACCCCTTCAAGCAGTATACCTTGATACTGGTCAATGGCTCTTGATCAAGCTCAAGTCTGGCTTAATTAATGTTTTCCCAGTGTCCATTACTATGCTCAATGTCCAACAGCATGTTAAATCCAATATATTTACGGGGCCTCACATGATCTCCCCAGCTGAAAAAGCCATGTAACGTAGCACAATGATACTGGCTCGTTGTCTTGTATTCCAATAAAGAATTTTCTATCATTCTAGTAAATGTTAATTGCATCTACGATAAATAATTGTTTGAAAATTGACCATCTGTATAGGTGTTTCATTGCTGTTTAAAGAGGCTTTATTTTTTTCAGGTTTATAAGATCGAAGACTTATCGCCTGTTTACTCAGAAGACATACACCAGAAGGACAAGCGCCGTCTAGCGACAGTATTCTCTCCCTCACCATCCCTGACACCCCTCGCCTCAACACCACTTTTATCCGCCGCCTCTTCCTCTTATTCCACTCCTCCCACAGATCCTTATTTTTTTACTTCTGCTCCTACTGCCTCTCATCGCTGGTCTTCATATTCCCCGGCATCATCGTCCAGGTCTTTCCTTCCAACGTATTCTCTGGCTTCTGTTTACCCAGCTTCGTCCTCAACATCGGCTGTAAGCAGGTATCGAAGATCTCCGCCTGTTTCACTTCCGCCATATTTATCTCGGTTCCTATCATTACATACATGGACGAGCCCACCGTCTACTAGTGCTGCCATCTCTAGGTATAATCAAGATTCTTCTCCCTCTTCATTATCTCATCAGATCCCAAGAAACGATTTCTCCATCGGAAGACGTACCTCACTCTACCCAGAGGACTCTCTCGTCACACAAAGTCTACCTGACTTTCTCCTTCCCACTGAGGGCAGAAGAGCCCCCCTGTCTTCTGATGACACAACAGACAATGCTGCTTATTCATCCCTACCTTTAAGAGATATTCCTCTATCATTTCTGACACCGTCAGCTATGAAGTCAGCAGTACCCTCCATTCCTTCCGCAGTTTCTCATCCGTCATCACTTCGAACAATACATCATTCATATAATTCCAGTCATGAACCCTATCCCTATCCACCTGACTCCCTCGCTTCCTATTTTGCCCATCCCTTCCATCTTCTCAACATTTCTTCTCTATCCGAAATTCCTAATATTTTGTCGCTAGGATCCTTTCCCTTTCCAATCCCCGTTTCACAAACTGGAGAGGATAGTAGCCAAGTGAGGTCTAACTCAGCGGGGGCAAAAGAGAACTCACTGACCGCCAATGATAATTTGATCTCGGCTATTACGAACTTATTACTTCGTGATAACCTGTCCAAAAATGCTGGTACTGCAAAGATAACGGAAAATCAGGCAAATTCTTCGGAGATAATTTCAGGAAGTGATGATACAGGCTTGACTTCTAATGATAACAAATTGTTAACAGAGACAGAATTAAGGAAACTTATTTCTCAACGTTTCGAACCCATTTTATTAAGTATGAAAAATAGACAATCGTCTGAAGGCAACAGGGAATTTCCTTTTCATGAAAATCCGGGAAGAAGCACAATGCCATATTTGGCATCACGATTGCATCTACAAGGTACACCACGAGCACCAATCATACAGAAGATGGTATGGGAAAGTAACTCACAGCCTGAACGGTTACGTTTCTCTGAAGCTGACGCCCTGCACTCCAACCTGAATAAAAATATTTTTTACAATTATTTAAGCAGAATTTACCAACCAGAGATCCACAACAGCCAATACATGGTAGGGAAGGTGACAGTAAAATCAGTAATAGCAAAGACTCCTGGCTAACAGCTGAAGTTGACTTGGGTGTGATGGGCACTCTTACCCTGGACCTTGGTGATTACCTTAATGATGAAATATACTTAGATGTAGATATTAATGGTCGTGTAAGATCCATGGGAAACAACATCTCCAGCTCAATCAATAATAGCGAATCTGATTCCTCGTTCGGTAAAGGAATTTTTAATAATGACACGCTACGAGAGACTCTAAATCTGCTTCAAAAATCCGGGTTGGTACGTTCAGAATCTAATATTAAACCGGAAAATATCGACCAACTCCGGTCATGGCTTGCTCGGATTTCCGGCAACACACAGGCTGATGCTGCACAAAATAATGTGCGTCAGACTGAGGATACCACCCCGCCTCTTGAGGTCCATCTTACATTCTCCTCCCCTGTCAATAAAAGCATGCTAGTCCAGCTCGCCAACATCCTTAAAGAGAACACGTCAAGTGTCAACTTCCACCACCTCCTCAAGCCTCTTATACGTCTGAACGTCACGTCCGGGAGAGAAGCAGCGGACACTAAATCTTCAGGAGCTACCTCCCGCTCACGTCTAACTCGTGCTTATTATTACTATCATCGACCCGGCCAGCAAGTACCCCAAGACAGGGACTCAGTGACCTCACTTAGTACTGAGGACCTCAGAAACCTTCAGGGCCAAGAACAGTCGCTTCAAGATAATACCAACAGTTTGAATAACATTTGGAAAATCATCCCATCAGTTCGTTTGAACTTGGACAATGAGACCAGGAACTCGATGCACAACGAGCGTTCTTTGCGAGCTTTCATGAAGAATGCTATTTTATTCTGGAATTCGGCTTTGAGACAAGCGGAAGAAAAAGACCTGGACGAAGGCACAATAAAACCAAAAGCTTTTAACTTAAACAACCGGCGACCATCCTTGCCGTCCACTGAACTTACAGCGCCATCAGAAGTGAGAGAAAATTTTCAGGAAACTCAAGTGGAACCAGTGGAACAGTATGCGAGGTCATTGGAACAGTATGCAAGACCACTGGAACAGTACACGGGGCAGCAAGAAGAGTACGTGGGACAACTAGGAAAATTTATAAAACCTTCAAAAGAATTCACAAATCAGCCAAGAACACACGTCAATCCTCTGAATGCAGAAAACCAGCCCGTGAAAGCATTTACCAACTCGGCTTACTGGGAAAGGAACAGAAATCAACGGAATGTCTGGGACAGAAACTGGGGTCAACAGATTGATTGGAATAGGAACACGAACCAACAGATTGAATGGAATATGAACAGGAATCAACAGGCTGATTGGAATAGGAACATAGGTCAAGAGGCTGACTGGAATAATTACAGGGGTCAACAGGATAACTGGAATAGGAACAAGGGTCAGCAGATTGATCTGATTAGGAAGAGTAATCAACAAACTGCCTGGGATAGGAACAATAATCAAAAGACCGACTGGAATAAGAACAGTGATCGACAGGCTCTTCAGGAGAGAATCAGAGATCAACAGGCTGACTGGGTCAGAAAGAATGATCAACAGGATAACTGGAACATTAACATGAATAAGCAAACTATTTGGGACAAAACCAGGGATCAGCAGGATGTTTTGGATAATAACAGGGCTAGACAGGCTGTTTGGGATGGTAACAGGGCTAGACAGGCTGTTTGGAATGGTAACAGGGCTAGACAGGCTGACTGGGATGGTAACAGGGGTAGACAGGCTGACTGGGATGGTAACAGCGCTAGACAGGCTGTTTGGGATGGTAACAGCGCTAGACAGGCTGTTTGGGATGATAACAGGTCTAGACAGGCTGTTAGGGAAAGTAACAGGGCTGGGCAGGATGTTTGGGATAGTAACAGAGCTAGGGATAGGAACAGGGATGCTGTTTTGGATAGAAACAGGGATCAGCAGGCTTTCAGAGATAGGAACAGACACAATAACGCACCTTGGAATGGGAAAGACAATAATGAGGCAGTCTTGAATGTAAACCGTGACACTCAGAGTAGCTGGAATGGGGACAGGGATAACAGTGCTGTCTGGATTAGGAAGAATAATCAGGAAGCTTCCAACAAGGACAGAGAACAACAGATTATCCGGGGTATGGACAGAAAACTTCAAATTGTTGAAGAAAGAGAAGCTCTTCAGGCCAGCGGCGAGAGAACAGGAGATTTACGTCATGTAAACTACAGTGACGAAATAAATAAAGAAAGACGAATAAATCGCCGTATTGCTCCTGCAGAGAGAATATTCCATTATAGTGGTGGAGGAAAAGGAGATATTCTAAATGGTGGAGATTTCGTCGCAAAAGGGGAAGATTTCTTCGGAAATGGTAGAGATGGAAAAGATAGAAGAGACCTTGAGAATGAAGGAGTTGGGGTACTTAGGAAGAATCTTAAGAATAGTGGAGCTGGAGGAGTTAGGGAAAATCTAAAGAACAATGGAGATGGAGGAGCTAAAGAAGATCTTGGGAATAATAGAGATGGAAGAGTTAGCGAAGATCTTGAGAATGTAGGAGATAGTGTAATTAGTGAGGATCTTAAGAACAGCGGAGCTGTTCTTAAGATTAGGAAAGATCTCAAAAATGCTGGAGACGAAGACAGTTTTGAGGCTCGTGAAGAAGAAAAACATCTCAAATTTAATCGAGAAATTAAAAATCGGCAAGGAAACGAAGATGCAAGTGCTTACATTGCTGCTTTATATGAAAGAAACCTTAAAGAAGACAGAGATAAGAAAGATCCAAGAATCGACGGAGACAAGATGCATTACCAGACTCGAGAGGACAAAAGAGGAGACCTGGAGAATGGAGCACAGAGGTGGATCCCCAAGATTTCTTGGTCATTTAGAGGCTCGCAGCAGGTCAACGGGAACTCTTTAGTTGACCCCTTTATTGTCGTGGAGGCTCCAGACCTCTACCGGCGACTGTGACCTCGCATCATGACCGTGACCTCGCATCATGATTGTGACCTCGCATCATGACTGTGACCTCGCATCATGACTGACTTCGCATCATGACTGACCTAGCATCATGACTGTGACCTCACTTCATGACTGTGACCTGGCATCATGACTGTGACCTCACTTCATGACTGTGACCTCGCATCATGACTGACATAGCATCATGACTGTGACCTCACTTCATGACTGTGACCTGGTATCATGACTGTGACCTCACTTCATGACTGTGACCTCACTTCATGACTGTGACCTCGCATCATGACTGTGACCTGGTATCATGACTGTGACCTCACTTCATGACTGTGACCTCACTTCATGACTGTGACGTTCCCATCTTGAATGTGACTTAACACAAAGGTAATAATATATAGACAAGATATAAAACTAGCATATATTGTATGTTCATTATAATTTTCACTGCTATTGCTTCTAATTATTTTATTTTGTGCTCAACTCTATTATAATTTACATAAAATTAGTTGTAAACACAATTATAAATGGATGCATACATATATCACCCTAGACGTCGTTTTTCACAGAAATTTGCACACTGTTATACAATAAAAGTATATTACAGAGGAAATTATTTACTTACCAACAAAATAACTGCACTGTGTACTTAAAAAAATCGATGAGTTTGTGGGTGTTGAGCTCCAAGTCTGGACTCGTTCCATAGTTTATATAGGCTGATGTGATCTATGGGTGAGTGTGAGTTGGACTTGATTAGCTTGGACCAGTAGGCCTTCTGCAGTGCTCCTTTAAGTTTTTTCCTACGTCGCATTCAGACCCGTGAACGGTTTTAGCTTTTACTAGCCCCTTTAAGTCATTGAGCTTCTATATTGTCCTGATGCTGAATAAATACTTATTAAACTTCTCTATGACTCACCTGTGTGAGATATTTAGAGCTTCTCTATGACTCACCTGTGTGAGATATTTAGAGCTTCTCTATGACTCATCTGTGTGAGATATTTAGAACTTCTCTATGACTCACCTGTGTGAGATATTTAGGTTATTTTGACCAATTTCTACTTAGAGAAGCAAAGTTATACTGTGTATAAACGGTTTATAAAAGCGACAAGTTGATAAACGAGACGCTATAGTGCAACATTTGGTAGTCTTTATTCTGGGAACGTTACCTCATACTCCTCATCTTCCACCCCTCAAGGAAGGCTCCTTGACGCTGGTGAGGGGCTCTTGATCTAGGGAATTGGATCTGTGCTCCAGTTCCCTGAATTAAGCCTGAATGCCTTCCATCCCCCCATAGGCGCTGTATAATCCTACGGGTTTAGTGCTTCCCCCTTGATTATAATAATAATAATAATCCTCATCTTCCACCTTTCGCTGCATTAGACTGAAGAAGCCACTGCGTGGAGAAACGTTTCCAGAATAAACATTCCCAAATGTTGCACTAGTGTCTCATTTATCAAAGGTATGCTTCATTTTATTTAATTACCAGTGTTTGATGATGACTGCAGTCGTTGTAGCACACACTCGTGGATCCCATTACAACAGTCTACCTGTCCATAAAAACTTTTTAGCGGCTGCTGGCAAGCAGTTGTTTGTTTACAATCGTTGCCTCTTGCTATCTTTGTTGATAGTGACAAGAAGTCTGTTTATTTCTTCGTATCTCGGTAGTCTGGTCTTATTATTTGTTTTTCTTTTCTTCTATAAACAAAGGAGAGTATGTTCAGTGTTTTCCGTCTCGGTACATAATTTATGTTTCATACATCTGGGACCCAATTTTTCGTCGGCATTTGGATTTTAGTTTGGGTGTACATGCTAAAAGTCCCTTGTACGTAGAGCATTATGGGCAGGCTTAAAATTAACTTAAGATTAACTAAGCAATATATTCAGTGGTAAAAATTACAGTAAACAAATTACATCATGAAGTACAAGTGAGTATTTAAAATAAGAAGCATTAAAGTTGTACAAATTTGTAGCACAGAGTTAAAAGGTAAACTCAAGTCTACATATACAAGCCTAGTAAAGTTTATTATACCTTAGTATTCAATTTTAAATCCTTCGCTGGTAAAGTTTACATCTTTAAAATATCTTGATAACCATGTGCAAAATATTGCCAACATTACTTTTTAATAGAATATTTATTTAGAAAAATATACCGTGTATCGTTATGTTAAAAGTAGAGATACTTGCTTTCCCCTCCACATCTATCTTCCACTCGATATGTGATCTATTTCTACTGTATCTGCAAGCCTGAGTAAGTCTGTGAAAGTTTTACATATTATAAAATGGAAATTACTGAATTAAAGAAGGGTAAAAGAAAGACAAAAATGTGTTTTCGAATCATTTTTAATTTAACAAGTGGATTTTCCAACGTCTGGTAATTTTACCGTCAAGACAGAAGTGAGGACGAGACAACAGAGTTCGAAATAAAAAACAAAAAGTGTTTTTATTAGGGAGCCTAACAAAAAAAAGTTGCAATCGTAATAACACGATTGCAAACAAGCCACGGTACGGGTGGAGTTTGAATCCCTAGTGAGTCGTAAAACTCCAGGACAGTGCGTAAGCCACTGGACCAGTAGGCTACAATAAGATTCATCCAGCTATGTGTATTTATTCACCATAGGGAGGTTAACATGGGCCGCTACTGTGACCACAAATGCAAGTTTTTACAGCTGAATCCCCATCAAGGAAGGTTCCTTGATGTTAGTGAGGGGCTCTTGATTTAGGGAATTGGATCTGTGCTCCAGTTCCCCGAATTAAGCCTGAATGCCTTCCACATCCCCCCCAGGCGCTGTATAATCCTCCGGGTTTAGCGCTTCCCCCTTGATTATAATAATATAATAATAATACAGCTGAATCTCTGGCGGGAAACTCATCTATAAAAACTTGCATTTGTGGTCACAGTGGCGGCCCATGCTAACCTTTCTATGGTGAATAAATATACATAGCTGGATGAATCTCATTGTAGCCTGTTGGCCCAGTGCTTACGCACTGGCCTGGAGTTTTACGACTCACTTACCATAGGTTTATACCCCACCCGTACCGTGGTTTGTTTAAAAAAAAAAGTTGATTGGAAAACAGATTTTCTGGTTTTGTTGAAGCAGTGCCATGACCCAGGTGGGTACTGGCCTGACACACTGCTGCACCAGCCTCCGCACGCCACCAGGATGCCACACTTCGGCAGTAGTATGAAATTTCTAATATTTTGTATGTAGAAGGTAAATCCATGTGAAAAAAATAAGGGAAAACAGAATATAATTTAATCACATCATTCTTGTCGAAGTTCATTGATTCGAGCCTAAAGAATTACAAATACACTTAAAAAAATTAGGCATGGCCTAGAGATTAGATTTTTTTTCGAAATTCATCAATGGTGAGATACGTGTGTGTGTGTGTGTGTGTGTGTGTGTGTGTGTGTGTGTGTGTGTGTGTGTGTGTGTGTGTGTGTGTGTGTGTGTGTGTGTGTGTGTGTGTGCGTGTGTGTGTGTGTGTACTGAAATATTCGTTATGAACGAAAGTTAATTAATTCCATTAGAGTGCTCAGGGTTCGAACCCGCGGTCTAGCTCTCCTGAGGTTGCTAGTCCGTCGCCTAAGTCACTGGACCACCGATAATCATAACAGTTCTCCACCCAGGATCTGGGAAATCTTGTGCTTTTCATTAACTACATCAAAAACACTTTCTTTTTGGAGATCCCGACTACACCAGTAGACAGTGACAAATTTTAGCTCTTGTACCTTCTAAGGCACTTATGAAAAATTCGTAATGAATGGATGTAAAATAATTCAAATCAAGTGCTCGAGATCCGAACCCGCGGTCTAGCTCTCCTGAGATTGCTAGTCCGTCGCCTAAGTCACTGGACCACAGATAGTCAACGATTCTTGAACCTGAATCTGAGGTTTGTGCTACACAAACACATTTTTTAAAGAGAGAATTCGCGACTACACCAGCAGACAGTGACATATTCTAGTTCATATCCCCTCTTTGCGCGCACGTATATGTGTATGTGTTTGTACTCAACTAGTTGCACTCACCTAGTTCTTGTTACAGGGGTCGTGTCACAGCTCCTAGCCCCGACTCTTCACTGGTAGCTACTAGTGTGTGTACTCGCCTAATTGTGGTTGCAAGGGTCGAGACTCAGCTCCTGTGTGTGTGTGTGTGTGTGAATGGGGAGTTATCATATGTTTCTTGGAAGATTCTTGCTGTAATTGTTGCATTAGCTGTTCCATCTGTTTTTGTCTGCTACTGCTGCTTTAAGTGTGGTATCTCTATACTCCTGCATGAGACCTCTAAGCAGAGACAAGGTTGATCAGTTGTGGATATCCATAGGGATTTTGGTCTATCCTGTCGAACTGGTGGAAGGATGACGGGAAGGGAGCCATGAGTTTCCCGACCGTAAAAACGTAAGGGTTGTCGACAACAGCTACCAGGGGCTCGAAGGCTGTTGTGGCATTCCCGATATCATACACTTGACCCGAAAGACCATAGGGGTCGGAGGAGACGGAATTGGTCTTGCCGAAGGGAGTCTCGAGGATTCTTGAAGCGATGGTAGTCTTTTTAACGGTTGTTGCGTAGCCATATGGATTCCTGTTAATCTCCTGAGAGACCCCGAAGCCGGAGTCACTCTCGGATAGTCTTATTGTGTATCTGGTGAAGCCATAGGGATTGGCAGTAATTTTTTCGCCAGTGGGAAGTCCACTAACCCGTGCAATGCTGTGACTGAAAGAACTATTGAGACCTCCAATAGGTTTGAAGTAACTTCTGTGAATCTTATCAGAGTATCCGTAGGGGTTAATAGTGATACTTTTGGTTTGGACGAAAGCCTCTGGTTCAAGATCAAGTAGCACTATTTGATCCGAAAATCCGTATGGATTTGAAGGAATAGAAATAATGGCCCTGAAACTAGATGAACGCGTTAATGGAAAATAAGACAATTCTTGAATTTTTCTAGAGTATCCATAAGGGTTTGTTGGAATACTCTTGACTGCCTCAAAAACAGTAGGTGCCTCTTCCAGTTTAATTATATTCGTGGAGAACCCGTAAGGGTTAGTTTTAATATTGTCAACACTGACAAAGCTGGAATACAGATCCTTCTTTTTCTGGTAATCTCTGTGAACGTTTTCAGAATATCCGTACGGGTTGACAGCAATTATCTCTACTTCTGTGAAGGCTCCTGGTGACTCGTCTAATCTTGTTGCCTGATCAAAGAAGCCGTATGGATTGGCTGGAATAGATTCTATGGTCTGGAAACTTGATGCTTTCTCCCTCTTCTGGTAAGCAGGGACTTTAATGAAGCTTGATACACCATATGGATTACTGGGAATACTATTCACGACTGAGAAAGGTGTGGGAGCTTCTAGAAGAGTTTCCTCTCTCTCAGAGAACCCATAAGGATTTGTGGATAATAGAGAGGTCGTTGTAAAGGAAGATGGTAAACGTCTGGAGCTCAGAGGATCATGAATAATTTGAAGTGAGTAGCCATATGGGTTAACTGGAATAGTCCTGAAAGTTTCGAAGGCTGTTGGAGCACGTGGTAATTCCTTTATATTTTCAGAGAATCCATAAGAATTTGCTGGAATTTTCACGAAACTTTCAAATCCAGATGATCGCGTTTTAGGAGTAACTGGTAATCTCTCAATATGCTGTGAGAATCCATATGGGTTTTCTGGGACGCTTCTGGAGTTTACAAAACTTGACGGGACTGCATCAAGTTTAATTATTACTTCTGTAAATCCATAAGGATCATTTGGAATATCAGACACCCGAGTGAATGATGACGGAAACTGACGAGGAGCTGCCAGCTCTTTCCGAATCTTGTCTGAATACCCGTAAGGATTATTAGGTATAAGCGCAGCTGTGCCAAAACTACTTGGCACATTATTTAAAGGCTTAATATTTTCGGAGAATCCATAAGGGTTAATTTCAATTTTGACTAATGTCTCAAATCCGCTCTGTACCTCAGTTGTCCTCTCACTTCGTCGATGAAAGTTCTCCGAGAAGCCATAAGGATTAATACTAATATCACAACGGCTGTAAAAGCATGTGGGTCCTCTTGAATCTTCACGTGCTGTGAATATCCATAAGGATTGTCTGAGATGACAGTGACCTTCTCAAAGCTAGTTGGTAGTTGTTTGAGAGCGTGTTGATCCTGGATGGTCCTTTGTGAGAAGCCGTACGGGTTATTTTTGATCGCATCTACTTTATCAAAAGAGCCTGGCTCTTGGATAGTAATTAATTGTTCAGGGAATCCATATGAATTACTAGAAATAGCAGAAACGGGTTCAAAGCTACTCTTTCTTTCTCTAAGAGCATAACTGGTCTTTTCGATTTTTTCACTAAAACCATATGGATTCCTGGAAATCGAGTCTAAGTTTCCAAAACTACTGGGGGTGTCTGATAGATTCTCCACGTGTTGTGAAAATCCATAAGGATTTGTTGGAATACTTGATACTGTTTCAAACCCACTGAGTAGATAACCTGGAGAAAATCTGATAGACTTGTATTGAGAATATCCATATGGATTATCTCTAATTAGTCTTCCTCTTTCAAAAGCGCTGGGGTTTTCCCCATAAGCAATAAAGTGATCTGCATATCCATATGGGTTGTCTGTTATGGTCTTAACAGAAGCAAAACTTGACGGGCTTCGTCTAGGGGTAGGGTTTTCTCTCACAATTTTTTCAGAGAAGCCGTAGGGATTTTTGGGGATTGCATTAACACTGTCATAAGCACTCTCTGCTTCCCTGAGTTTTTTCACAGTCAAATGCGGGCTACGAAAACTTTTCCCAGTGCGCTCAGTACTCTCAGATGTCGGATACCCATAAGGATTTTCAAGAACAGAATCAACTGTAGAAAAACTTGTTGTGTGATATTTTGGAACGTCAATATCCGACTCTATATGCTGAGAAAACCCATAGGGATTATTTGGAATTAACCCAGATTTTGTGAAGCTAGACGGACTCTCTGCTACTGCAAAATTTTCTGAGGAGTACCCATACGGATTTGAAAGTACAGAAGCAGTGGTGCTAAATCCACTTACTCTTTCTCCTGCACGATAAGGTAATTTTTGAATATGATTAGAATAACCATAGGGATTATTTGGGATTAAAGTTATGGCAGCAAAGGCTTCATTTGCCTTGCTTAGTTTCACTATGTGTTGTGAAAAACCATATGGATTTATCAGAATAGGCACTGTGTCTTCAAAACCACTAACAATGTATTTACTTTGGTAAGAGTTCCTTTTGATGGTTTGAGAATATCCATATGGGTTCATAGTAATTACTTTGAACGTCGCAAATGCTTCAGGAGAATTTATAAACTTCCTGATCTCAGTCGAGAAGCCGTAAGGATTACCTGAAATATAGTCTACCGTCTGGAAAAGACTTTTAACATTCCTTGGTGCGTATGTATCTTTTCGAATGTGTTCAGAATAGCCGTATGGGTTTGAAGGAATTAACGGAACGGCTTCAAAAGCCTCAGGCTCACTATTAAGCTGTTCAACATTAGTGGAGTACCCATATGGATTATCTGGAATTGTTTCCACTTTCTCAAAGCCGCTACCACACTCCTTGATTCTATATATTTCTCTATTAATATTCTGAGAATAGCCGTAAGGGTTTGCAGGTATTGTTTTAACAGATTCAAAGGCATCATTTGATTTACGAAGAGTCTTAATCTTTGTCGAGAAACCATAAGGATTATCAGCAATTTCCTTAACCTTATCAAAGCTACTACCATGTTCTCTTAACTTATGACTGTCACCTTTAACTTGTTTAGAAAAGCCATAAGGATTCAAAGAAATTTCGGGAACAAATTCAAATGCCTCTGACGCTCCTTCTAGCGTCCTGAATTCAGATGAATATCCATAAGGGTTGTCAGGGATGGTACCAAGCTTACCAAAAGAACTATCAGCGGTTTTAGATTGATAAGACCCCTGTTGGATTTTTTCAGAATAGCCATAGGGGTTTGAAGCAATAGCTGGTGAAGGTTCAAATGCTTCAGGAATGTCGCTTAGCTTTTGGACCTCAGTGGAATACCCATATGGATTGTCAGCAATTGTCTTAACGTTTTCGAACAAATTATTAGCATATCTTGGTTTGTAAATATCTGACTGGAACTGATCAGAAAAACCATATGGGTTCGAAGGTACTACAAGAACAGCTTCAAAGGCCTCAGAGCCAATACTGAGCTTCTTCACATGGGTTGAATACCCATAAGGATTGTCAGCAATGGAGCTCAACACACTCTGAAACACACTGACAACGCTATTAGGTCTCAAATTTACTTCCTGAAAATTTTTAGAGTAGCCATAGGGATTAGAGTCTATCAATGAAAACACTTCAAAAGCTTCAGGCTCGTCACTCATCTTCACGATATCAATTGCGTAGCCGTAGGGATTGTCAGGGATTGAGAAGATCTTCTCAAATCCGCTGTCGGTGAACTTGGGTTTGTAGGAATGACTTCGAACATTCTGGACGAAACCGTAGGGATTCGAAGCGATGTACTCGGATTCTCGAAACACTGTTGGAGGCGGCTGGAGCTCTTCGAATTCTGTGGCAAACCCGTAAGGGTTGGATGCGATAGTTTCGACGGTACCAAAGCTGGAAGTGAGGTTGAGAGGCTTGTAATGCTTGAGGAAGGTGATGCGGCCGTCTGGACTGTCACTCACAAAAGCTCTAGGAGGCGGCGCCGGGAAACCTGGGATGTCATAACTGTTGGAGAAACACAAGACTCACTTACTATCGTCAAGAAATATGAAAGTAAACATATGAAGATTACTTGCTTACAGCACGAGATAGATAGATAGATAGATAGATAGATAGATAGATAGAGAGAGAGAGAGAGAGAGAGAGAGAGAGAGAGAGAGAGAGAGAGAGAGAGAGAGAGAGAGAGAGAGGACGAGGAGGGGGGAGGAGCGGTTAAGGAGGAGGTCTTAAAAAAAAAAAAAAAAAAAAAAAAAAAGTCTGATGTGTTCCTTGCAAGAACCACTGTTGTCATGCAAACAATTCTGTGATGTTGAAGCAGATTTGAAAGTTTTCCTTGGCTGCCCAGTCACCGCCTTGCCAGACTTGTCGGTCTATATTGTAAATGGCTTATTCATGGTTAAATGTATTTGTTTTAATCGTGTATGTAACCTAACCTCAATTACAACAAAGAAAATATCCGTTAGCTTACCTGGAACGTTAAGAAAATGGCGTTATGAATGGAGTAAGAAAATTAACGTTGTAAAAAAAAAAGATTGGCTTGCTATTTAGAAAAGTCTACATTAACTTAACGTCATTTAATCACTGTCATTTAACCTAATGTAATTAAAAACCAAATATAGCTAATAATAACATTCATTAAAACCAATTAATTAAATAATATATTAAAACGAGATTATATTTTTTTATTTGCGAACAGAAAGCAGGGAATCGCCGAGATAATGGAAGAAGCATGACAGTAAAACCTCGAGGGTCACATTTTAGCCTCACAGTCGTTCTACCGACGACTCCGAATCAGTAAAATACTGACGTTTGTTTATTACAATAGATTAATTACATCAGCTGGAAATCACAGATTCTATAATGAATCCAGCATGATGCAAGAGAAGAGAAAGATTGCCTCTCTAACCTTAAGGAATTCTATGATGCGATGACTAAAATTAGACAAGAAAGGAAGGATGGTCCGACTGCATTTTACTAGACTGTCAGAAAGCCACTAATACACTCCCCTCACCTGAAACCTGTTTAGAATCCGGAATTAACAGAATGTAGGGGTTGGAAGGTCACGTTAATAAGTAGAAAGTGTGTGTGTATAATACACACACACACACACACACACACACACACACCACACACATACACATACACACACACACACACACACACAACACACACAACACACAACAAACACACACATACTACTATCATAATAATATATACAATATATATATATATATATATAATATATATATATATAAATATATATATATATATATAATATATATATATATATATTTCAACAAGTCGGCCGTCTCCCACCGAGGCAGGGTGACCCAAAAAAGAAAGAAAATCCCTAAAAAGAAAATACTTTCATCATCATTCAACACTTTCACCACACTCACACATTATCACTGTTTTTGCAGAGGTGCTCAGAATACAACAGTTTAGAAGCATATACGTATAAAGATACACGTCATATCCCTCCAAACTGCCAATATCCCAAACCCCTCCTTTAAAGTGCAGGCATTGTACTTCCCATTTCCAGGACTCAAGTCCGACTATATCAAAATAACCGGTTTCCCTGAATCCCTTCACTAAATATTACCCTGCTCACCCTCCAACAGATCGTCAGGTCCCAAGTACCATCCGTCTCCATTCACTCCTATCTAACACGCTCACGCACGCTTGCTGGAAGTCCAAGCCCATCGCCCACAAAACCTCCTTTACCCCCTCTCTCCAACCCTTTCGAGGACGACCCCTACCCCGCCTTCCTTCCCCTATAGATTGATATGCTTTCCATGTCATTCTACTTTGATCCATTCTCTCTAAATGACCAAACCACCTCAACAACCCCTCTTCTGCCCTCTGACTAATACTTCTATTAACAACACCCCTTTTTCCTAATTTCCACACTCCAAATTTTCTGCATAATTTTTAAACCCCACACATTGCCTTTAGACAGGACATCTCCACTGCCTCCAACCGTCTCCTCGCTGCTGCATTTACCACCCAAGCTTCACATCCATAAAGAGTGTTGGTACTACTATACTTTCATACATTCCCTTCTTTGCCTCCATAGATAACGTTTTTTTGACTCCACATATACCTCAACGCACCACTCACCTTTTTTCCCTCATCAATTCTATGATTAACCTGATCCTTCATAAATCCATCCCCGACACTCAACTCCCAAATACTAAAAACATTCACTTCTTCCATACTCCTCCTCCCCAATTTGATATCCAATTTTTCTTTACTAAATCTTTTGTACCCTCATCACCTACTCTTTTCTATGTTCACTTTCAACTTTTTTCCCTTTTACACACATTCCCAAACTCATCCACTAACCTTTGCAATTTTTCTTTAGAATCTCCCAAAATATATATATATATCAAATATATATATATATATATAAATATATATATATAATATATATATATAAATATTAAATATATATATATATATATACACGCACACACACACTTTTCACATACATAATCAGCAGCAGCCGACACTCAAGGCGAACATCCAAGTTTCCTGGAACTGCAGTCAGGTACCGGAGAGCAACAGCAACAAAAAACTTGACCAAACAGGTTTGGCAAGAACTCTTCTTGCCGGAGTGGTCACCAACCCGCCTCCTCTTGAACTCAAATAATGTATTCTTTCCCACTCCGACGCTGATGTTGCTGCTACTCACAAGATGATTACATTATCCTATCCAAGTAGTGCCTTAATTACCTGTCTGTAGCATCATTTCCACAGCACTTCGCCGTACTCCATCTGCTTGACAGTAGGGGTTGCAAGAACTGACGGGCAAAAAGTACGCTCACACCTTGGTATGCCCACTTTTTTGGGTTTCCTGTCCCCCTCTCATTGCGATGCTTGACGAGTAGAAACAGACAAGGCGTCTATCTCTCGTGGACCCTCCTGGAGGGATCGAATTTTCACAGAGCCTTAAACATAGGAGGGATTGGGTGCCTTACGTTTGTACAAGGCCCAATTTTGTCAAAATACCACACTTGGACCCACTTCGGGGGACAGCGCGAAACAAGTTTTATCCACAAGAGGGGCAAAAGCAGCAACTTCACTCGGGCTGTACCCTTCCCAAAAACCATACCCCATCTAATCTACATCCCCCAGGATGACTCGATATGAAACACATTCTTTCCCAGCAAAATGAGTCAACGAGATAACGTCAGTTGATAAAATAAAAAATGCTGCCCACAGATGGCTCCAACTTATCCGTTCCCTACTTGTATGCTCATACAATAAAAATGCTTTCAAATGAGCTGAGTAGGTAACAGCTCTTAGCTTGTCAATAAAGTTGGGAAATCCTTACCTGTAAATAGCTTGTCAATAAAGCTAGGATCCTTAACCTTGTCAACATGTGTAAAAAAAAAAAAAAAAAAAAAAAAAAAAAAAAAAAAAAAAAAAAGAGAGAGAGAGAGAGAGAGAGAGAGAGAGAAGAGAGAGAGAGAAAGAGAGGAGAGAGAGAGAAGAGAGAGAGGGGGGGGGAGGGGGGATGAGAGGCCGATGGTAGAGGAGATCTTCCAAAAAAGGCGTCTCATATCACTTCCAAGAATCACTGTTGCCATGCACAGGTTCCACCTACTTTGTGGTACTTTGTCTATGTACGAAGCAACTTACGAAATAATATAATAATCATAACTCTTAATATCCCCAGACATAAGACACAGGGACTCTCCTTGCACCTGCTGCCTTTATTTACTTAGCAGTAAATATGTATGTGTCTTACTCGACCGATGTAGGTAGCATCTCGGAAAAAAGAGTGAATTCAATCACACAAGAAATATCATACCTGTTGTAGGAATTCAAATGGAACTTTCAGGTAATGCAGTGAGGCTGGTGAATGAATAATCATACTGGGTGAGTGTGTTACCAGGAGTATCTTTTAAGAATAGTCAAAAAACATGTAATTCAAAGGAGTAATAATAAAAAATTAAATAGATTTATGGGATTAGATTATGACAACTCGCAATAATTTTAATTACATATTTTATTGAAATCGGAAAAATATTGTCATTCTCATCAAAATATAGTTTAAAAAACATATATGCATTTAAAAGATGTGTATTAGCGGCTGACATGGTTTGCGATGTGTTCCGAGTGATTTGCAATGCCCTGTCAAACTCGCCTGACTAGACACCTTGAAGAGGTGAAAATTCAATGACATATATAGAGAAAAACTAGATGTTGAACCACTCTTAAGTCCACGAGCTTTCTCTCTCTCTCTCTCTCTCTCTCTCTCCTAGAAGGGGCAACAGCAGAAGGAAAAATGGAGGTGAGAGACGGACAGGAAGAAGCAGAAGGGAAGAAACAAAAAGTGAGGCACAGAAAACAGAATGGAGAGGGAGGGGAGAGGCAAGAGAGAGAGACTGGGATGAAATACACAGGAAAGACATGAAATAAGACTTCACGTTTATATCTAGGCTATCTGCTGAGAAAAGTAAACTACTTATAATAATAATGATAATATCTTTATTTCCACGAGTACAAGTCTAGCTGACATCTATGACATAATAATAGAGAAAGCCACTTGTTATGCAGAGCATTTTGGGCAAATTAGGTCAGTCTTGTCCCAGGATGCGACCCACACCAGTCGACTAATACCCAGGTACCCATTTTACTGATGGGTAAACATGGACAACAGGTGAAAGGGAACACGCCCAATGTTTCCACCTTTGCCGGGAATCGAGCCACGTACCCTCAGCGTAGCTCGATTCCCGTGGTTCGCCTACCAGGCCACGGGCCATCACTGTTTGTGTATACTGTAGACAGATAAGATCAACAAAGTAAATAAAGCTCTCTTCCTACCCTCCAAACTGCCGGCATGAGAGTATTGAAAATTGTGTATGAAAATTTAATAGGAAAAGAGGTTGGAGAATGTAAACAACATTGTAGGTGAGAGATGAGAGTAGAGTAATAAAGAGGGAAAGAGAGAGAGACAGATAATTTGAAACTGGCTTCGTCATGCCGTTTGTTGAGGTGCGAGGGATGGAGTTGCCAGGGGCAAGTCTTATTATGTATCTGGTGAAGCCATAGGGATTGGCAGTAATTTTTCTCGCCAGTGGGAAGTCCACTAACCCGTGCAATGCTGTGACTGAAAGAACTGTTGAGACCTCCAATAGGTCTGATGTAGGTAAGAGCTCTTAGAGTGTAAATAAAGTAAGGAACCCTAAACCCAACCTTGTAAAACCCTGTGTAAGAGAGAGAGAGAGAGAGAGAGAGAGAGAGAGAGAGAGAGAGAGAGAGAGAGAGAGAGAGAGAGAGAGAAGAGAGAGACAGACAGAGAGAGAGAGACAGAGAGAGACAGACAGACAGACACAGAGACAAAGACATAGAGAAATTTACTCTCACACTACGGAGCAAAACTACAAAATTACAATTTCAAAAAGTTTGAACTTCCCTTAAGGTTCCTACTTCCTCAGGGATACAGAAAACAGCTGTAGTTTCATTAAATAAGTAATAAATATAATAAGGTAGGGCATAATTTCAGTTTATTTATCTAGTGTGCAAAGGAATGTTAATCAGCAATACTGAAGCAGCAAATCTTACAATAATTCAACACAAATACGTAAGTACATAGTTCAATTCTAATGTCTTGAGGTATCCTTAAAGTAATGACTAGATGATGAGCACAGTTCTGTTCTCCTAATTACGGAATGTACTTAAATGCGTTTGTAAACATACAAAGAAAGGTGATAAATTTAATGTTTTGTATCAGAATTTTTTTTACGAAGATAGAAAAAAAACTTAATTTTTTCTAAAACGGCGCAGAATTAAAAGATTATAACTGTATTCATCAGAAAAAAATAGAAATAAATAAATAAAAGGGATATAAAAAAAAAGGTGTTGAAAATATCTAACCAAGACAGGACATATAGCCACTCAGTTCCAGCTGGATAACCTTAGAAAAGATAAAAGAAGCACTGGGTTTTGCAGAATTGTATACGAGCTGACAAACTGTTTTTAAAGCTACTTTGTGTAGCTTTTAAAGCTACTTTGTGTAGCTTTTAAAGCTACTTTGTGTAGCTTTTAAAGCTACTTTGTGTAGCTTTAAAAGCATACTTGAGAATATGTGGGTTTAAATAGGGCCTGCCAGTAGACTTACTGCAATGCTCCTCCATTCTTATTTTCTTATGAGACAGATACTTATATAGATAGCTCTATTTTTTCTCTCTTCCTAAAGTCTTGTGAGCCCTCTTGGTGCTCCTCTGCCTGTTCTCCATAAACAAGACTGATAAAAGTTTGCCAGAAGGAAAATCGTGCTAAGAAATACTTCATAGTGTTCATGTGAAGCTCTAGAACTTATATACCTATAAGAAGCGCCTAGAGGTGCAACAATCCGGTTAGAAGAGGAGGCTAAGAGGCTTGTCTTGCAGATGAGCTATTATTATTATTATTGTTATTATTATTTATGGGGCTCTGAAGGACTGGGAAGGATTATGGGGGTCTTCGGCTCAGCTTTGCTTTCCCTTGGTGCCGTCATTGAATTGAGGCTTAAGAATATAAGAGGAGGGAAGCACTGCAGTGGGTCTACTTGCCCATGGCAGATACAGACACAAATACAATATAATGTCATCCTTCATTGATAACGTTTTGCCCACACAGTGTGCTTTATCAATTCACAATCTGTTTGTGACATAATAAAGCCCACTGTGTGGCCGAATCATTGTCAATAAAGGATCCCATTATACTGCATGTGTCTTTATCAATGGTGTAGTTATTTTATACCATTTCTTTCCTGGTCCATGGTAAGTAGGTAATTTTCGGCCCATGGTAGGCAGGTAATTTTTGGCCCATGGTGGGCAGGTAATTCTCACCCGCAGCATTCTCACTCTTATTACGATAAAATATTTTAATCTATAATGCAACGGCGAATGAAATTAATTTTACTTACGTTACGGCGGACGTCACCACCGACGCAACTAATATCTGGAAAGGAAACGAGAAGAAAATAAAAATAATGTATCTTCCAGGTAAGATTAAAAATATTTCGACTTGATCTATCAAATCATTTAATGAAGATTCCTGGATAATAATAATGTATATACATACGTATCACACATAACTAAAATATATTACACTTTCTACATGAAATATGTGGCAGAAAACAGTGAAATTTAAGGAGCACTTACGAAGAGTCGCATCTCGTGCGGTGGCGCGTTGTGCTCTGAGGCTGTTCATGTATGCCTAGCCACTTCCTCTCCTCACCGGGCTATCCATCCATTCACCGTCCTCGACACAGTCAAGTAGCCAATAGCCAGACATGAGCCCAGACCAGTTAACCAATCAACATCTTGAGCACACACACATAAAGGGTAGGCAATGACCGGTCATATGCCCCTACCAGTCAGCCAATCAACCAACAAGAGTCTAACCAATCACGGTAGGATTACTATAGCACGTAGGCACTTTAAACAAATACTTAGGGTTATATGAATCAGGTCTTGAACCAGTAGAATTGGTTTTAACAAAATATGTAGGAGATGGGTGCTTACGTAAGCACAACTTCCTAGAATTAGGCTGCATTATCTTTAGTTGTTGGATGAGTTTTTGTGAAGCTTGGCTCCTGCCAGCGGAGTACCGTAGTCTAGAGATTTAGCAACGTCTTACATTAATGAGTATTTATGGTAGGCAACATATAAATCAATGATACGGCATCAGCTTCTAACTAAAATGATAGGCAGAAGGACATATGCAACTAACGTGACATTGTAGCAACATTTCGCTTTCAAGGGGCTTTGTCAAGCTACTGGAGAGTGTTAGGTAAGACACATATGCAACAGTTAGGTATCTTTATTTCGAAACGTTTCGCCTACACAGTAGGCTTCTTCAGTTGAGTACAGAAAAGTTGATAGAAGCAGAGAAGAGACTTGCTCCTATCAACTTTTCTGTACTCGACTGAAGAAGCCTACTGTGTAGGCGAAACGTTTCGAAATAAAGATACCTAACTTGCATATGTGTCTTACCAAACAAACTATCGGTATTTTATACCATTTTAATGTTCTACTGGAGAGTGAAACGTTGCCGCAGTAAAATGTTACCTTGGATGCAGACGTTAGTGGAATACATTACAACAACGACTTTCCACAAACATGGGGTAAACTAACTGGGTAAACTCACTGACATGCACTAACTCACTATGTGCCAGAATGTGACCAAATATTTACTTACAAATTTGCTACTGTACGTGAGTGGTATACAATACTGACAAAATGAAGAATTAGACACATGTGCAATATCTGGGTATCTTTATTTCTAGACGTATCGCCATCCAGTGGCTTTATCAGTACAAATCTAAGGACGTAATGGGAAGACTGTAGAACTATATACAAGAGATGAGGTAATCAGTCCCTCAGCCTTGTTGAAGAGCACCGTAGTCTTCAAGATTACGGTGCTCTTCAACTCCAAAACTGTGGGACTGATTACCTCGTCTTCTGTGTACAGTTATGCAGTCTTTCCATTACGTCCTTAGATTTGTATTGATAAAGCCACTGGATGGCGAAACGTCTAGAAATAAGGACACCCAGATATTCAACATGTGTCTAATTCCTCAACAGATATGCTACTGCAAACGAACTCGTCCGGTGGCCTGGTGGCTAAAGCTCCCGCTTCACACACGGAGGGCCCGGGTTCGATTCCCTACGGGTGGAAACATTTCGACGCGTTTCCTGTTGTCCTGTTCACCTAGCAGCAAATAGGTACCTGGGTGTGGGTCGCATCCTGGGGGACAAGATTGAGCACCACAATGGAAATAAGTTAAGACAGTCCTCAATGACCCACTGACTTTCTTGGGTTATCCTGGGTGGCTAACCCTCCGGGGTTAAAAATCCGAACGAAACCTTATCTTAAAACGCAACAACTTGCGTTTCTTGTCGGTTCTGCATTTAATATATAGTCTCATTCATATTAGCTATATTAAACCTCTTCATGTTGTCAACATTTCCTTCAATTACTGAAAACCTCTTTATTTTTTAAAAAACTGCAAAACCATTTAGGCATTATTAGCAAATATAAAATATACATTAAAGTTATATTAATAATAATACAAATAGCATTCCCAAAAAGTTTATTTAGCACATAAGGTCTGAAGAAATTAACACCATAAGCAGATTTAAAAAGGTTTTCTCGCCTTCCTGTTGTACACTTACAGAATTTGTTATGATGTTGTTCCTATACATGATGTTGGGGTATGTTCGTGAGATTAGTCCATTTAATATGGTAAAAATCTTTTAAAAAATAAATCCTCCACGCCCTACTGTATCCCCGCCAGCAGGTTATATATCAGTGAACAAGATATCATGCTTGTATATATATTAACATACTAATATGACTCAAGAAATTGTAATGCCAAGAAGCTGGCCGAGTGTCTTACGCACTGGCTTGGAGTTTTACGATTCACTTGCCTTGGGTTCAAACTCCACCCGTACCCTGGTTTATATCACATACTACCCTGGTATATAGACGTTAATTATAATATACTTACGATCACTCAAGGACAAAGAAAGCACCAACACAGTTTCGCGTGTGATCTGTCGGGTTTAATGCCTGTACAGAAGTTTTCACCCCCCCCCCTTCCCCTTCAAGGCTTTTGGTCCAAGGAACTACACTTACTATTCTCTTAGACTCTGACAATTACTTTTTCATTGATGACAGGCTTTTTTGGGGTGGGGGGGGGGAGATTCTGAAAGTAAGTGGAAAAGGTTGACGGAGAAATCTGAGAGGGTATATAAAAGAAGTATATCAAAGTTAGGTACAGAAAAGAGCAAAATGACGAGTAGCAAATGTTTAGGTACGGATGTGCTAAATATCAGATTATAGGAGTAGGGTGGAAGTAAATGAAAAAATGGGAATACATTAAAAAAAAAAACACAGTGTGATGGTACGAAAATGATAATACGAAAAGCAAAAGGAGGTTTGTTGAAATAGTTTATGGCATTTATAATGGATGAAGACTGAAACATTGATTAAGAGAGTGACCAAGTTTTTATCTGTCATCTGTCTCCTGTTCCTTCTCGCATCTCACAGAGCCAATCTTTATCTTCTATGTCTGGTTCTCTGAGCATTTTGTATGATAAGTTTATATTAACCCCAATCCTCCAGTCTTCTGGGGTGTTGGAGTGCCCTAAGTCAAACACTTTCAATTCCAGTACCACTCTCGTCGACAACCTGATCAGAAGCATACCCCAGTCTGGCTCCACACACTTAAAAAAACTTATCTAACATGTCTTATGTAAAACTTTAAATAATTTTTTTATTAAATTTTTAAAAGCTGCACGCACGACCGAGCAAGTGTGCATTCATGTATACTCACCTATTTGTGGTTGAGTCGTAGTTCCTGGACCCGCCTAGTGAGTGTGTGTGTGTGTGCGCACGCGCGAACGCTTTTTAAGTTTAAATTATTGAACCTCGCCACTGCTCCTCCAGTAATAGGTACGGCTGTCTCCCTGCCCTTTAGGGCTTTTTCATAGCTACTTTTCGAATGCATGATTAGTGTTTGTCGCTGCTATATTTTCATCAAGTTCGATACACTTATTCACCATCATGAAACTGAAAATGTAAAGTAAAAGGACAAAAGTGCAACTAATGTGACATTTTATTGTGGCAACGTTTCGCTCTCCAGGAGCTTTATCAAGCCGTTACAGACAATACATGGACACAGAGGGTATATATAGGCTCAGAGTGAGGTGCAATACTAATGGTAGTGGTAGTAGTAGTAGTAGCAGTAGTGACAAAAGTTGTAGTAGTAGTAGTAATACAATATGGTAGAGCAATTAATTCGTACATGAGTAAAAGGATATAAAAGCTATTGCTTGGGTAACATAAAAATAGGTTGGACAAATATAGACTGGAAAGAGGCAGCTTGTCTCAGTGTTGACTCTCTGTAATGTGCTTTGTTTAGTATAACAGGAGAGACTATGTGATGGCAGGGTTTACTGTTTTCAGGAGGATTCTTGCTAAGACTTCAGAGATGGTGAAGCTGCCGTTGTTTTGTTTAATTGTATACTACTACTACAACTTTTGTCACTACTACTACTACTACTACTACCACTACCACTAGTATTGCACCTCACTCTGAGCCTATATATACCATCTGTGTCCATGTATTGTCTGTAATGGCTTGTTAAAGTTCCTGGAGAGCGAAACGTTGCCACAATAAAATGTCACATTAGTTGCACTTGTGTCCTTTTACTTTACATATTGTCGGTAATTCTACCAACTTTATTACAAACTGAAAAATGCTTAACCGACTTTAGCAGACATCTGTCCCCCTGGCTTCCTCTGTTCGCTTCTCAAACAACCTCTTGTTATATATACTATGGAAAGTTCGAGCGGACTGGTTAAGGCGCACCCACTATAATATCAGGAATCACAAAAATCTGTAATCAAATGCCACGAAATCAGCGAGGTACTTGGCGAAGAATTTCATCTTTGTTTTGTGGTCCAGGGAATTAAAGTATTTGGGATCGTACCGTCGCGTGTAAAATGGACGGTCAGACATAGGGAAGCTAGCGACAATATTTTTGGCTCCTAGCCAGTCGAGAACGTAGTCGGCGTCCTCTTTCAGAGTTTCAAATTTCCCGATGAAGTCGTACTGTACAGCGCATGGGTTGCAGATCTCGTGCATGGAGAGCCAATGTTCGTTGCGCTGCTCGTAGCTTAAGGGGCCAGACTCTGTGATGTATCGGATGAACTCTGTGAAAGTAACGTTGTGGCCCCCATTCGTCTTTTCTCTGGTAGCGAAAAGAAGGGTTGGGAATGAGAATTGGTGAGTGGTAATACAAAAACTTTCATAGCTTGATGAAAGGCAAATACTTAATGTATTTGGAAGACAAGTAAAATGGAAATGTAATAAGTCTATACAGACCGTACGAAAACCTCAAACAAATGTGACCAAAGGATAAGAGCACAAAAATCCATACATACAGAATAACTGGTAAAGTGGGAGCTGGATCTTTTATTTCCAACAAACTGAACCGACAGAGTGTAAGTCAGTCTTCCTCGTCGTCATATAAGAAACAGACCAACACATACCAAATATTCGAGGCCAACACTACACTCTGAGTGAGAGAAGTAATACTCTAACTCGAGGATAGAGTAACCTAAACCCACGAGCTAACGTAAACCATATGTGAAGAAAACCCGGATCAATTAAGAGTTTTAAACAGAATTGAAAAAGAAATCGAACATAACACAACGCATGCGAAAAGTGTAAAAGACCTAAGATTAATAAATTAGTTTATAATACACCTGCGAATGGATCACAACAGTGTCATTATCACATCTGCGAGGAAACTGATAGGATGGATAATGAGAACATTCAAGACAAGAGATACCAAGCTAGTGGTGATCCTTTTTAAGTCACTTGTTCTCTTTAGGCTGGAATACTGCTGTACATTAACATCTTCAAAGTAGGTGAAACTGCAGATCTAGAGAACGTACAGAAAAACTTTACTGCACATATAAGTTCCATCAAACACCTTAACCACTGGGAACGCTTGGAAGCACTTGTACTCACTGGAGCGCAGGCGAGAGAAATACATCATAATCTATACCTGAAAAATCCTAGAGGAACTGGTCCCTAATCTGCATATAGAAATCACTCCCAATGAAAGAAAAAGACTTGGCAGGCAATGCAAAATACCCCCAATGAAAAGTGGGGGCGCCATTAATGCACTAAGAGAAAACACAGTAAGTGTCCGGAGCCCAAGGGAGCGTTTGTTTTACAAAATGTATATGACAAAATCAAAATCACGAACAATTAAGTAATGCAAATGCTTTACAAAGAATAAAATTAACAGAGTTATACATGAAAGCATAATTTTATTTTATTTTGTGGCCCGAAGTCGGGGTTAAAAGTCCGAACATTTGTCCCCAACATCATATTCAGTACAGCAGTCGCCAAGCTTCTTTCCAAGCAAAGAAACAGACTGAAAATTACTGAAAACGAAGATAAATTAACCCTTTCAAATTGTTAAATAAATTGGTTTACTATGTTTATTTTTATTTGTGAAATAAATACGCTTGTTTATAGTGTTAGATTAGTTGTTGTTTTGAATGTGTGGTAAACCTAATACACATGTACTAAGGAGGTGCGATCGTATATGTGTGTGAGGGGCGCTCGTGATGTGACCTCGGAGCCTAGGGGGCGGAAGCCTGAAAACGTTTGGGAACCACTGTTTCAGTGTATGCTATCAGCCCCATAGATGTTCTGCGCGACACTCCTACTTAAAAACTCATAAGTGAACGTTCATTATTCGCATAGTCTCAGTCAAACGTTCGCTAATAACAACACTAAATACGCACACACTGATAGAAACCGCTAACATCATTGAGAACCATTAACACAACTGGGAACCATTAACACCACTGGAAACCATTAACACCATTGGGAATCACCAGAAGCCCTCAAACAGCATTCCTTGGAGTGCAGCCCAGAAATATATATCAAGATAAATACCTGGAAAAATCTGATGGTATTACAAATGTGCACACTGAAATATTTTCTTAAAAAAGAAAAACAGAAGGTACGAACGAAGAAAGAGTTGCAACAGAGAGGGAAATAAGTACGTGTAAAGATAATCATATATACTGTTGGCCAAGGTGGTCAAGTGAGAACAGTCAGGTCAGAACACACCTCAGGTGAGAACGGTCAAGTCAGAACACCCCTCAGGTGAGAACGGTCAGGTCAGAACACCCCTCAGGTGAGAAAAGTCAGGTCAGAACACCCCTCAGGTGAGAACAGTCAGGTCAGAACACCCCTCAGGTGAGAACAGTTAGGTCAGAACACCCCTCAGGTGAGAACAGTTAGGTCAGAACACCCCTCAGGTGAGAACAGTCAGGTCAGAACACCCCTCAGGTGAGAACAATCAGGTCATAACACCCCTCAGGTGAGAACAGTTAGGTCAGAACACCCCTCAGGTGAGAACAGTCAGGTCAGAACACCCCATAGGTGAGAACAGTCAGATCAGAACACCCCATAGGTGAGAACAGTCAGGTCAGAACACCCCTCAGGTGAGAACAGTCAGGTCAGAACACCCCTCAGGTGAGAACAGTCAGATCAGAACACCCCTCAGGTGAGAACAGTCAGGTCAGGACACCCCCTCAGGTGAGAACAGTCAGGTCAGGACACCCCTCAGGTGAGAACTTAAGAACTCTCTACCAAGGGGTAATTACCCATGGGAATCATCAGGTAGACACCAGGTATTTTCTAGCTATATAGCTATAATTTACAACTAACTCACACACTGAAAATTACAACTGCACAAGCATTCGGTCTGTCCTGGCCCAGTATGAACTCGACCTTTGATAATAGTTTAGAATTGGCCGAAACGTTGTCCAGCTTTCCTTTCCAACTTGTAGTTTATTTATGAACTGTTCTACCAACGTTATTGTAATTTTTATTCTTTTATTGGTTAACAAATTCCTCTCACTTTCCCTTACCTGTATTTTTGCTGAATTTTCATCCCTATTTCCTTGTGGAAATCATAGGTGCTCGACTTGTCGAAACTCTCTAGTTTGTCCTTGAAGGCTGAGAGGACACGATCGAAAGGGTGTCTCACGAATATAAACTTCTTGTAAGTCTTAAGTTTGAGCTCAGACTCCATGTTGGACTTGAGGAGAGGCAATCCCGTGTGTATGAAGCGCCTTAGAGTATATGAAAGAGAAAACGTGAACAAGACGGCAAGTGAAACAGAATGAAAAGGTTATTTATCTGTTGTTCTTTCTTATTTTTGTTATTATTACACTAGTCAACATTCATTTTCTTGCCTATGATATTGCACCGATTATAGAGTAAGTCTGGTGAGGATATATTGATCTGGCGGGGTTAAATTACAAATCGCACTGAAATTATTTTTTGGATAATGCATAAGTAAAATCATGTAATACATACTAGCACTTCATTCTAAATAATAACAGATTAACATAGTAAGATAATTCAGATACCGCTAATTACTGCATATGAAAACGTTGTTTGAACGATTTTCTTCTAAGTTGGTCATCAGCACAGTTTTGTTGAGTGAGCAACTGGAAGAGATGCACACACACACACACACACACACAACACACACACACACCACACACACACACACACACACACACACACACACCACATACACATACACACACACACACCACACACACACACACACACACACACACACACACACACACACACACACACACACAGAACACAAACAGAACGACAGCAGCTGAGGGAGAGGACAAAAAAGCGAAAGGAGCTAGGACAGGAGACAAGGATGGAACCAGCAGAGGTCAATCAGAGCAGAACAGAGCAGCAAGGGCAAGCACACACACAATTATCCTCAGAACCCCACAACCTATCACACCATCCCAACACAAACTACAATCCATACCCACAGCTTCCACCCAACACCCAGCTATAGAATCCCACAGTATGCTACCAGGTCTCCCAACCCCACAGGCCCCCCAAACCACAGTGTTGGAAAGGAAACTGAAGGTATGGCACACAAACGCTGGTGGAATAACAAATAAGTGGGAGGAGTGACATGAAAGAATCAAAGACGCATCACCAGACATCAGAGCTCTCACAGAAACCAAGCTTACAGGTATGATAACAGATGCCATCTTTCCAACGGGATACCAGATCCTGAGGAAAGACAGAGGGAACAGAGGGGGTGGAGGAGTGGCACTGCTGATCAAAAACCGATGGAATTTTGATGAGCTGGAGAGAGGAGACAGCGGAGAAGAAAGCGATTACATAGCGGGAACGCTTCACTCTGGAGGTCTCAAGGTGGTAATTGCAGTGATGTATAACCCACCACGGAACAGCAGGAGGCCAAGGCAAGAGTATGACGAGAGCAATAGAGCGATGGTTGACACACTGGCAGCAGTGGCCAGAAGAGCTCATGCATGCAGGGCAAAGCTCCTGATCATGGGTGACTTTAACCACAAGGAGATAGATTGGGAGGAACTTGGAGCCACATGGGGGCCAAGATACCTGGAGGGCTAAGATGATGGAGGTGGTACTGGAAACCTTCATGTACCAACACGTAAGGAACACTACAAGAGAGAGAGGAGAGGATGAACCAGCAAGACTGGACTAAGTATTCACCTTGAGTAGTGCAGATATTGAGGACATCACATATGAAAGACCCCTTGGGGCCAGCGATCATGTGGTTTTAAGCTTCGAATACACAGTAGAGCTGCAAGTGGAGGGGGAAGCAGGAAGGCCAGGACGAATGAAGCCAAACTACAAGAAAGGGGACTACACGGAAATGAGGAACTTCCTGAACGGGGTTCAGTGGGAGAGAGAACTGACAGCGAAGCCAGTTAATGAGATGATGGAATATGTAGCAACAATGTGCAAGGAGGCTGAGGAGAGGTTTGTACCCAAGGGTAACAGGAATAATGAAAAAGCCAGGATGAGCCCATGGTTAACCCAAAGGTGCAGGGAGGCAAAAACCAAGTGCGCTAGGGAATGGAAGAAATATAGAAGGCAAAGGACCCAGGAGAATAAGGGTCGTAGAGCCAGAAACGAATATGCACAGATAAGAAGGGAGGCCCAACGACAATATGAAAATGACATAGCAGCGAAAGCCAAATCTGACCCGAAACTGTTATACAGCCACATCAGGAGGAAAACAACTGTCAAGGACCAGGTAATCAGGCTAAGGAAGGAAGGAGGAGAGACAACAAGAAATGACCGTGAAGTATGTGAGGAACTCAACAAAAGATTCAAAGAAGTGTTCACAGAGGAGACAGAAGGGCCTCCAGAAAGACGGAGAGGTGGGCCACACCACCCAGTGCTGGACACAGTACACACAACCGAGGAAGAAGTGAAGAGGCTTCTGAGTGAGCTAGATACCTCAAAGGCAATGGGGCCGGATAACATCTCTCCATGGGTCCTGAGAGAGGGAGCAGAGGCGCTATGTGTACCCCTAACAACAATATTCAATACATCTATCGAAACAGGGAGATTGAATAAGGCATGGAAGACAGCAAATGTAGTTCTAATCTTTAAAAAAGGAGACAGACATGAAGCACTAAACTACAGACCAGTGTCACTGACACTGACATGGAGAAGATTATCAGGAGAAGAGTGGTGGAACACCTAGGAAGGAATGATCTCATCAACAGCAGCCAACATGGTTTCAGGGACGGGAAATCCTGTGTCACAAACCTACTGGAGTTCTATGACATGGTGACAGCAGTAAGACAAGAGAGAGAGAGAGAGGGGTGGGTGGATTGCACTTTCTTGGACTGCAAGAAGGCGCTTGACACAGTTCCACACAAGAGATTAGTGCAAAAACTGGAGGACCAAGCAGGGATAACAGGGAAGGCACTACAATGGATCAGGGAATACTTGTAAGGAAGACAGCAGCGAGTCATGGTACGTGGCGAGGTGTCAGAGTGGGCACCTGTAACCAGCGGGGTCCCACAGGGGTCAGTCCTAGGACCAGTGCTGTTTCTGGTATTTGTGAATGATATGACTGGAAGGAATAGACTCCGAAGTGTCCCTGTTTGCAGATGACGTGAAGTTGATGAGAAGAATCCATTCGATCGAAGACCAGGCAGAACTACAAACGGATCTGGACAGGCTGCAGACCTGGTCCAGCAATTGGCTCCTGGAGTTCAATCCCACCAAGTGCAAAGTCATGAAGATTGGGGAAGGGCAAAGAAAATCGCAGACGGAGTACAGTCTAGGGGGCCAGAGACTACAAACTTCACTCAAGGAAAACGATCTTGGGGTGAGTATAACACCAGGCACATCTCCTGAAGCGTACATCAACCGAAAAACTGCTGCAGCATACGGGCGCCTTGCAAACCTCAGAACAGCATTCCGACATCTTAATAAGGAATCATTCAGGACCCTGTACACCGTGTACGTTAGGCCCATATGAGTATGCGGCACCAGTTTGGAACCCACACCTAGCCAAGCACGTAAAGAAACTAGAGAAAGTGCAAAGGTTTGCAACAAGACTAGTCCCAGAGCTAAGAGGTATGTCCTACGAGGAGAGTTTAAGGGAAATCGACCTGACGACACTGGAGGACAGGAGAGATAGGGGGGGGGCATGATAACGACATACAAAATCCTGAGAGGAATTGACAAGGTGGACAAAGGCAGGATGTTCCAGAGATTGGACACAGTAACAAGGGGACACAGTTGGAAGTTGAAGACACAGATGTATCACAGGGATGTTAGGAAGTATTTCTTCAGCCACAGAGTAGTCAGGAAGTGGAATAGTTTGGGAAGCGATGTAGTGGAGGCAGGATCCATACATAACTTTAAGCAGAGGTATGATAAAGCTCACGGTTCAGGGAGAGTGACCTAGTAGCGACCAGTGAAGAGGAGGGGCCAGGAGCTTGTACTCGACCCCTGCAACCTCAACTAGGTGAGTACAACTAGGTGAGTACACACACACACACACACGAGTACAGCGTTTCGATACCTCAATAAAATATCGTTCAAGACTCTGTACACCGTGTATGTCAGGCCCAAACTGGAGTATGCAGTACCACTTTGGAACCCACACCTGGTAAAGCACGTCAAGACATTAGAGAAAGTGCAAAGGTTTGCAGCAAGACTACTTCCAGAGCTAACAGGAATGTCCTACGAAGAAAGGTTAAGGGAAATTGGCCTGACGACACTGGAGGACAGGAGGATTAGGGGAGATATGAAAACGACATGCAAAATACTGCGAGGAATTGACAAGGTGGACAGAAACAGGGTATTCCAGAGATGGGACACAGCAACAACAGGTCACAATTGGAAGTTGAAGACTCAGATGAGTCAAAGAGATGTTAGGAAGCATTTCTTAAGTCATAGAGTTGTCAGGAAGTGGAATAGTCAGGTAAGTGACGTAGTGGAGGCAGGAACCACACATAGTTTTAATAGAAGGTTTGATAAAGCTCATGGTGCAGGGAGAGACAGGACCTAGTAGCGATCAGTGAAGAGGCGGGGCCAGGAGCTATGACTCGACTCCTGCGACTACAAATAGGTGAGTACACACACACACACACACACACACACACACACACACACACACACAATACACCTCCAGGACCACATTCTTAGAAAAGAAGTTGAAGGTGTGGTATACAAATGCAGATTGAATAACAAATAAGTATGAGGAGTGGCACTAAAGAATCAAGGAGACATCCCCAGACATAATAGCACTCACAGAAACAAAAATCACCAGAATAATAACAGATTCAATCTTTCCATCCGGATATCAAATCCTCAGGAAAGACAGAGGGAGGAGAGGGGAAGGAGGAGTTGCACTGCTCATTAAAAACCAGTGGGGTTTTGAGAAAATGGAAGGAATGGATGGCACGGGAAAAAGGGACTACTTAGTAGGAACAATCCAGTCTGAGGGACATAAGGTGATAATTGCAGTAATGTACAACCCACCACAGAACTGCAGGAGGCCAAGAGAAGAATGCGATGAGAGCAACAGAGCAATGGTCGACACACTAGCCGAGGTGGCCAGGAGAGCACACATGGGGGGAGCAAAGTTACTAGTTATGGGTGATATCAATCACAAGGAGATTGACTGGGAAAACCTAGAGCCCCATGGGGGTCCCGAAACATGGACAGCCAAGATGATGGATGTGGTACTGGAAAACCTCATGCATCAACATGTTAGACACTACCAGAGAGA